AATGCTCAGCTATCTCTGTTGTGTGGGGGCCTATGGTAAGAACGATCTGTGGTTGTTTGTCTTGGCTCTTTTTGGGTGCCCACCATCCAGCTCATAAATAAATCCCACACAGAGGCTTATTCTTAATTATGAATGCCTGGCCTTAGCTTGGCTTATTTCTTACCAGCCTTCCTTAACTTAAATTAGCCTGTCTACCTTTTGCCTCTGGGTTTTTCCCTTTCTCTTACTTCTGTAAATCTTACTCATACTCCATGGCTTGCTGTGTAGCTAGGCGGCTGACCTCTGGGTCCTCCTCCTTCTCTGGTTCCTAGATCTCTCCTCTCCCAGATTTCTCCTTGTATATCTCTCTGCCTGTCAGCCCCACCTATCCTTTCTCCTGCCTTTCCATTGGCTGTTCAGTTCTTTATTAGACCATCAGGTATTTTTACACACAGAATAGGAGGGATGCTGTGGATATTATTCTGTATAAATAAAACACTGATTGGCCAGTGGCCAGGCAGGAAGTATAGGTGGGACAAGGAGAGAGGAGAATTCTGGGAAGTGGAAGGCTGAGTCAGGGAGACACTGCCAGCTGCCCCTGCCATGACAAGCAGCATGTGAAGATGCCGGTAAGCCATGATCCATGTGGCAAGGTATAGATTTATAGAAATGGATTAATTTAAGATATAAAAACAGTTAGCAAGAAGCCTGCCACGGCCATACAGTTTGTAACCAATATAAGTCTCTGTGTTTTTTTGGTTGGGTCTGAGCGGCTATGGGACTGGCAGGTGTCAGAGATTTGTCCTGACTGTGGGCCAGGCAGGAAAACTCTAGCTACAGAGGGACATTTTAACAGAAAGACGAACAAAAATTTTGTCGGGGGTAGACACTCCCAGGCGGAGGAAGGAATCTGCCTGGAGACACACTAAGCCATAGCCATGGTGGGAGGTGACTGGAGACCCACAGGGCAGTATCAGGGCTGGCAGCAGTGGGAGAGAGGGAGTGAACAGAGACAGAAGCAACAGGTCAGAGAAAGGGGAGGAGCTGCTGAGGGTAAACATGGGGTGCTGGCAGGCAGAAGCAGGGAAGGGGATATTTGGGGCAGAGATAGATGCAGAGCTGCAGACAGACAGCAAGAGGGGGAGGGGGTGGGAATGCATTGCTCTCAAACCTGCATGAGGGAGCTAATTTGGATGAATTTCTTAGTGATAGGGGATCATATTTAACTCAGAAACACCCATTCACGAGCCGTGTCTGGGGCCAGAGGCTACAAAAATTCTGTCCTATTTCATAAGCCAGCGTCCCGGAAACAGTGTGTGGAATTGTCTGAGTAGAAGTGTAAGTAAACTGCAAAAACTCTGGGCTTGGTGTCCCAGGTTTTAGCACAAAAATGTTAATAAATTGATGGCTGAAACTGCAAGGAGACAGTTCAGCCCTGAAGGGCGAGGTATCCCGGACACCCCAGAGCTGCTTAGGACAAGAGTTCTGCCCTGAAGGTGTCCCGGACACCTGGAACTGTTTAGCACAGCTCTGATGGCTGGGACTGCAAAGAAACAGCTCAACCTTGGAAAGGAAGGTTTTCTGAGAGTCAGGCCTGGAACTGTTTCAGCAAGGAAGGGTATCCTGACTCTTTGGGAAAGTCAGGATATACCTGGTGTGATGGGGGATGGTCTCCTGGCTGGACACAGCAATCCTGCTCCTCTCTTGGAGAGCCACAATCTCCGGCTCAGTGTTATCAGCTCCCCCTTGCTCAGTCCACTATGGGATGTTCCAGCAAGGTTCCTCTGTTCACCAGTCAATGAAGGTCTTCACCCAAATCTCTTGAGAAAGGTTTATTTGGGAAGGAGGGGTCCAGGAGAGTAGCTGCCTCTACCAGGGTGGAGAGAACAGCTCACAACTGACCGGGCAGGGTGGTTTATATAGGATGTCTAGGGGGTGGTGTCAACTGTGATTGGCTGGCTTATTTTCTGTTCAGGGATTGGCCAGTTTTGTGAGCAAGGGGCAGAGATGGCTCTGATTTCAGGGCCAAACTGTGTTTCTTTCACTGGCCTTTCTTGGCTTTTTGACACTACCTCTAAGGCCAGGGCACATTTCTTTCACTGACTCTGATTCTAGGGGCCAAGAGTGTTATTTTGGTACTAGTTTCAGAGTCAGGGCATGTTTCCTGGGTTCTGGGTTTGGGGATAAACTTTTCATTTCTCTGGCCCAGGTCCCAAACACAGGCTGTGTTTCTTTTCCTGGTCCTGAGCCCTAGGGCCAGGGTTCTACTGTCCTGCTCTGTGATTGGTTGATTTCACAAGTCAGTTGGACAGGGGCAGAGATGGCTCTGATCTGAGCTAAACTGTTTCTCTCACTGGCTTTATCTGAGCCATCCTTCCCTAATTCTGGGCTCCAGGGTCAGGGTGGGTTTCTCTAGCCAGCCCCTTTTCCATACAATATCTTCCAGACAGGAGAATTCCAAGGAGCAGGGTCTGTCTCTGCTCCGGAGCAGGCCGGAGCTACCTGGCGCTGAAGCAACGACCTCAGTAGGTGCCCTGGAAGCCTCTGGGGACCAGAGACATGGAAGGGATCCTGGATCCCTTATGGGCATGGTTTGGAAGTGGGTGGCTTACTGGGCTTAAGATGGTCAGGTGTAGCAGAAGCAGGGGAAGAAGAGTGAGAGGCTTTCCATGGCCATGCCAAACCACATGCTGATGGGAAGACTCAATTCACCTCGGCATGCACCAGCTGAAAAGTTTAAATCCCCCAGTAGTGAGTAATGCTGCTGATGCAATAAGTCAAACCAGGCCAAATTAATAAGTCCAGGTTTAAACTGGGCAAAGCATTCCTGGGTGGTCCCAGGGGAAGAGGAGAAACCATGAGGAAAAGCCACAAGGGGAAGTCTGTGGACCAGACCTTAACTGCCCTCCTGGGGTGGAGCCACTGCTTGTTTGGCTTTCTCAGGGGCGGGGTCTGGAGAGGGGAGAGGCGGGGTCTGGAGAGGGGCGGGGTCTGGAGAGGGGAGGGGCGGGGTCTGGAGAGGGCAGCTCTGGGGAAGATCCCCAACAACCATAAAACTTGGGAAGAAGTAAACAAAATCACTTAGTTCTACCATTGATAAAGGATAGCACACATAAGGTTTTGCCACATTTAATATGAGTAGCCTTTCTCCTCTCTGACTCGAGGCCATCATTCCACCTTCTCATTGTTATTTTGGCTCCCCGGGTACTTTAAACCCAGGCAGGTGGAGCATTGTCTGATGGGCGTGTTCCAACACTTAGACAGACTGCCTAGCTGTAAATGAAAGTTGTCCAATGTTTGCAGTGTTTATAATGTAATTATACTCAAAACGAGTGAAAATCAAATCTAGAAACAGCAAGTCCCAGACCTACCTTACTGAGGTAGTTAAGGGCTCGAAAAGACCCATCTACAGCACTCATATTTAAGGCAGGAGAACAAGGTATCTAGAGATCAATGAATATGACTATATGCAAATTCACCCTCCCACTAAGGTGCTGTGTAAAACAAAGTGTCACTAATACCATCTGAACACAACTAGACACAGATTCATTCTACTGTCAAGATACTGGAACACACTGTCTACAAATTCTATCTGAACACAGACAAAATTCATATATTAAAAGGTATTCAATGCTGTGGTACATTCCTGTAACTCCCAGGAACTCAGAAGAAGCGGGATTGTTTGAATCCCAGAGTTTGAGACAAGGCTAAGATGACATGTAAGACCCATCTTGAAATAAACAAATAAATAAATAGCTTTTCCCCTAGAATTTTCTTTAAAAGTACTACAATGTCCACAACTGAAGTGGTTACTGTTTTTTCACTAATATAAAACACTGAATGTAAACCATGTTATCTTTAATCTGTATATGAAACCTGCTGTCAATTATAATTTGTCATGATATTAAATGATCATTGATGATAAAACATATTCTGTTTCAGGTATGCATAAAGGGTGAAGGAAGGAGATACCTTCAGATCAGTGAAACGCAACAGTAAAAACACATTTGTCAGAAAGCCAGCAGACACATGAACAGTAAGCATATCAAATTGGCATATATTCACAATCAGTAGTGCCTGCTCAGAGTCTTTCCATCATTCTGTCTTACTTCTCATTTGAAACAAACGGTTGGCTGCTCCAGCAGACATCCTGGACAAACTCAGCTGGAAAAGCATCTCATTTGCATTTCTAGAATCACAACTCAGGGATGAGTCAAATGAGGCCACAGTAAGTGCCCCAGCATAGACCCCGAAGGCAGTCAAGTCTTGCAGACAGTTCTCTCCAAACCCATTGCACGATGTCTTTATAGGCATAGGAAAATGAGCCATTACCATTCTATAATCCAGATGACCAGTAAAGTCAAGCAAAATGAAAACATCTGTCTACATCCAAATACAATCTTTCATGAAACTACTCTCCACAATTTCCCTGGTGAATATGCATGGCTTGATCATTTATTTGCTCAGCAGATCCATTCTCTTCCTCGGTGGTGTTCTACTTGAACACTATCCAAATTTTCAAACATGCATGAATTCTTCGTACACTCTGAAGTTAGAGACCATAAAATACTGCCTAATGACTGTTGTTGGTTGTTTTTGCTCTTCTGGCTCTTTGGCTCTTTTGGGGAGTCCACCACCCAGATCCCAAATAAATCACACATGAAGGCTTATTCTTAATTATAAATGCCTGGCCTTAGCTTACTTCTTGCCAGATTTTCTTAAATTATCCTGTCTACCTTGTGCCTCTGGGACTTTTCCTTTTCTTACTTCTGTATATCTTACTTTCACTCTTATTCAGTGGCTGGCTGTGTGGCTGTGTGGCTGTGTGGCTGTGTGGCTGTGTGGCTGTGTGGCTGGCCTCTAGCATCCTCCCCTCCTTGTTCTCTTGCTTCTTCTTCTTCTCTCCCAGTTTTCTCCTTCTATTTATTCTCTTTGCCTGCCAGCCCCACCCATCCTTTCCCCTGTCTTGCTATTGGCCATTCAGTTCTTTATTAGACCATCAGGTGTTTTAGACAGGCACAGTACACAGCTTCACATAGTTAAACAAATGCAACATAAAAGAATGCAACACATCTTTGCATCATTAAACAAATATTCCACAGCATAAACTAATGTAACACATCTTAAAATAATATTCTACAACAAATGGCTCAGGTCAAAACAAGCCTTGTAACAAGAGATTGATGGTACAAGACCATGAGGTATTTGTGTAACACTCTCGGAATTACAGAATATTTCAAAATATCTTAGCATTTCCTATACATTGACCTTGAAATCTAAATCTCCAGAGACCACTGGAACATTGCTGATGATCATCTCTGATTGGCCTGTTTAGATGTTCAGATTTGAGGAAACCCCAGGCTGAATGGTAGAATGCTTGCCTGACCCATGCAGCATCCTAAGTTTGACCCCGCATTGTGCCCCTTCGCCAAGAAATAGGGAAGTTAATAAGAACTCTTTTTTCCCTGGTTTTTGCCAAGATGCTTTCTGCAGCTCGAATGTAAAATGTCACCCCCTCCCCCCGACAGGCTTATATGTTTCAACACTTGGTGCCTTTCTGGGGATGCTGTTTTAGAGGGTTGAGGAACCTTTAAAAAGTGGGGCTCCTCTGGAGGAAGTGGGGCTTCTCTGGAGAAAGTGGGGCTCCTCTGGAGGAAGTGGGGCTCCTCTGGAGGAAGTGGGGCTCCTCTGGAGGAAGTGGGACTCCTCTGGAGGAAGTGGATTCCTCTGGAGGAAGTGGGGCTCCTCTGGAGGAAGTGGGGCTTCTCTGGAGGAAGTGGGACTTCTCTGGAGGAAGTGGGGCTCCTCTGGAGGAAGTGGGACTTCTCTGGAAGAAGTGGAGTTTCTGTGGATGAAATGAGGTTTCTCTGGAGGAAGTGGGGCTCCTCTGGAGGAAGTGGGGCTTCTCTGGAGGAAGTGGGACTTCTCTGGAGGAAGTGGAGTTTCTGTGGATGAAATGAGGTTTCTCTGGAGGAAGTCCATCACTAGAGGCAGAGCTTGAGATTCTATACCTGGACACATTTTTGGTCCCCTCTCTGTTCCTGTTCTGCCCAAATGTGAAGGAAAAGGTACCTAGCTCCACATTCCTGATACATGGGTCCTCTTGTAGCTATGCCCACCCCAACATGATAGACGGCACCCTCAAACTGTGACCCAAAACAAGTCCTTCCGTGGTTTCTCATCAAGTATTGGTCACAGTCACAAGTAAAGAACCGAACGTGGCATTCCACAGAGATACCAAACTGTCCAAATCAATGCACTTAGGAGGAATTGGTGAGGACACCATCAACGTTTCTAGACAACTACAGATTGCCTCATTGCATTGTTCAGCAACTTCAAAATCCATTTCACTCATTTTGTCTCCATCTTTCCATTCTTCCTTTTCTTTATGGTACAGACTTAGAGGGCAAAGTGTTCTGGACCCCTGAGATGTTTTCTTTTTATTCATATTACAGAGGTAAGGTGGCTAATTTATACATCACAGGAAATAAAACAGCAGTGGATATGGCTGAAGCTAAACAGATGTACAGAACTATTGGCAGTTCTGGGTAGTGTCCTTGAAAAATTCCAATTACTGCAGGAATAGCCATTTCTCCCAGGGTACCGCCAATTACAAAGAATGCCGTGGATTTTCCAGTTAAGGTGGTGTACTGCTCAATCCAGGAAACACCACTGGGAAACGTGGTTGCCAGGGAGGCCCCATACACAGAAGTTGCGATCCAGAGACAAAGAGGGGTCTTGTGAAAAAGCACCAGAAAGAAAGTTGAGACAAGACTGCCAATGTTACTCAACACGATCATGGTTCCAGGCTGTAAGAGTGTTGCAAAGACGATGGCCAGGCCCCTGCAGGCTGCAAAGGTCCCCCAGAAGACGGAGTTCAAGCCGGCTGCTTCACTTTCTTCCATGCCAACATGGGTGGTGGCGAAGGAGAAAATGTAAGACCCGTAGGTCACCTCAGCTCCGACGTAAAAGAAGAAGAAGAGGAAGAGGAGACAGAGCAGGGCCCAGTGATATTTAGCTCTTCGAGCTTCCTGAACAGATGCCATGGATTTCTTCTGCCTTGAGCTTTTCTTACAAAACAGACCAAACAGGAAGACAGAGACTACTAAGACGTAGGTGCCGATGAAAGCATAGGTCCACAGCAGGGTCATGTCCTCAGGCACCGCAAACAGAGAGTCTGAGGTGGCTCCAGAGGATCCGTTCAGCACTAGAGGGACAGAGTCTGTCTCTGTGTGGTTCTGAGCGGATGTTGTCGTACCCCAGGCCAGTTTAGCTAGCAGAGGAGCCAGGAAGGCACCCAAGGCAAAACTGAAGTGCAAGGCCTGCATGTGTGGAGCACCTTTGTCTCCCCAAAGAGCCAAGATGAGGACATTTGCACCTGCCAATGGAATGTGGAGAAAAGCGATGCATTGTAATGTCTTACAGACATGGCCTAAAGGCTGGTGCTCACCACCTTCTAGAGCCAGATACATTTGCAACAGTTTTTACAAAATAGTGTAAATGCCTCACTGGGGGTATAATATTTATCCATGTACTTGTTACTATGTATGTGATAAATATATGCAATAAATACATTACATAAATTATAATATATTCAGGCGGTGGTGGCGCACACCTTTAATCCCAGCACTCGGGAGCAGAGGCAGGTGGGTCTCTGTGAGTTCAAAGCCAGCCTGGTCTACACAGTGACAGCCATAGTAAGATCCTGTCTCAAAAAACCAAAATCAATCAATCAAAAAAAATAAAAATAAATAAATAAAAAATATAATATATTTAATAAATATACCTCAAACTTTAATAAGTATATTGCACATTTTTAGCTTTATGTACTTGGAGCTGGCAGCAACCAATGATTATTTATTTATGAGCAAAGCACCTAGTTAGGACCTGGATGCTCCTGTTACAGGAAACAAGAATATCTTCTAGGTGATAGTGTAATTTTGTCCACTTTTCCCGAAGTCCAACACTCAGAGTCACTGACCTGTGTCCAGAGAGCCAAATGAAACACCGAATACAGACATCATGGCAATCAGTACTGTTGCTGTCTTGCAGAAAGGGATGAGATAAAGACCAACTGTGGTAGCCAACACTGACATCCCTAAAGAAGGGCGAGAATGTCAGCTACAGAAGCAGCGTTCACACAGAGTCAAGCCAATGTCATAACAACAGAAATGAACGTAAGGTCATATGAACACTGGATAACGTGAGAATTTCTACAAATGGGTTATGTCTTATAAATACTATTGTTGCTGGAGGGCTTCTCTCCAGGTTCCCCAAGCCCCGCAGTCCCGCAATCCACATATAAAATAATCACTCAGACGCTTATATCACTTATAAACTGTATGGCCGTGGTAGGCTTCTTGCTAACTGTTCTTTTATCTTAAATTAACCCATTTTTATAAATCTATACCTTGCCACATGGCTGGTGGCT